AGTCATTGGGTTCGGTCCTCAGCACCACATAAAAATAAAATAAAGGTATTGTGTCCACCTACAACTAAAAAATATATATATTTTAAAAAATAATTCACACAATATAAAATTTACCCCTTCTATTTATTTATTTACTTACCTATTTTCGGTACTGGGGATTGAACTCTGAGACACTCTACCACTAGGCTCCTTTTACTTTTTATTTTGAGACAGGGTTGCTGAATGTCTTGCTAAGTTGCTGAGGCTGGCCTTGAAGTTGCCATCCTCCTGCTTCAGCCTCCTCAATCACTAGGATTAAATGTGGATGCCACAATGCTTGGCAGAATTCAAAATTCACCATTTTAAAGTATACAGTGAAGTGGTAATCAGAGCATTCACAGTGTTATGCAGCCATCACCACTGCTTCATTCCCAAATATTATCATCACCCCCAAAAAAAGCCCTATTAGTCTCCAGTTCCAATTCCCCCTCAGTTTACGCCCACCCCTGTAACTGGCAACTACTAATTTACTCTCTATGTCTTTGGATTTGTCTATTCTGAAATTTTAATATAATAGAATCCTATAATATGTAGCTCTTAAAAGTTGTGACTTCTTTGGCTTAGCATATTTCAGGGTTCATTCATGTCATAACATATCAATATTTTATTCCTTTTTGTGGCAGAATGATATTACACAGTATGAATATACCATAATTTGTTTGTTTATTCATCAGTTGAACTTGTTGGTGGTTTTTACTTTTTGGCTATTCTGAATAATGCTGCGATGAAGATTCATATATGTCTTTGTGTGACCATATATTTTTATTTCTCTTGAGTATATACTTAGGGCTAGAATTAACTGGATCATATATTTGACCATTTGAGGAGCTGCCAACCAATATATCAAAGTAACTGCATTATTTACAATCCCAATGTCAACAAAAGGGGTTTCAGTTTCTCTTTAACACTTGTTATTGTGTGCTTTTTTTTAAAAAAAAAATTTGTTTGTTATAATTAGTTATACATGATAGCAGAATGCATTTCAATTCATTGTACACAAATGGAGCACAACTTCTCATTTCTCTGGTTATACGTGATGTAAAATTGCACCACAGTGCAGTCATACATGTTTGTAGGGTAATGATGTCCATCTCACAATGAGCATTAATTTGGACTTCATTGTAGTTTGAATTTGCATTTCCCCAATAATGATTTTTAGCATCTTTTCATGTGCTTACTGGTCATTTTGGTCATTTGTATATCATCTTTGGAGCAATGTTTGTTCAAGTTCTTTGGTGGTTTTAACATTGCATTATCCTTCATTATTGGTGAATTGAGTTACAATTTTGGTAAAGTCTATTTATCTAATTTTTCTTACGATTGCTTATGCTTTGGTGTCGTATATAAGAAACTGTTGTCTAATCCCAGGTCATGCAGATCTATACCTATGTTTCCTTCTAGGAATTTTACAGTTTTAACTTTTACATTTAGGTCTCTGATTTATTTTGTGTTAATTTTTGTATAAACTGTGGGCAAAGGGTCTAACTTTGTTCTTTTGCATATGAATATGTAGATGTCCCAATATCATTTGTTGAAAGTACAGTTTTCTCCCTCATTGAATGGTCTTAGAACCCTTGTAGAAATCTATGGACCGTAAATGTATGGATTTATTTCTGGGGTTTCAATTCTATTCCATCGATCTGGGTGTCTTTGCTAGTTCCACACTATCCTTGTGCTAATACCACACTGTCTTGATTACTTTAGCTTTTAGTTTGAAATTAGGACGTTTGAGGTCTATAGTTTTGTTCCTTTTCAAAATTGTTGAAGTTATATGGGATCTTTTGCATTTTGTTATGAATTTTAGAATCAGTTTGTCATCTCTGGAATAAAAAAGGCAATGAAAATTTCAATGGGAGTGACATTGAATATATATTGGGAGAGTTAACGCCATTTTAACAATATTGTCTTCTAATCCATAGAAAAATGAGACTTTTTTCATGTATTTAGATATTTAATTGCTTTCAACATATTCCATAATTTTCAAAAGGTGTACAACTCTTGCACTTCTGTGGTCAAATTTATTCTTACATATATTATTCTTTTAGATACTGTTATCAATGGAATTGTTTTCTTAATTTCATTCTTTGATCATTTGTTGCTTCTTTTAGACTTTAAGCACAGATTTAAAAAAATCATATTTTGTTGCTCTGTATCTATAAGAGGGAAAATAAAATTAAATTCAATTGCTCAGGGTATTTTCAGGACTTCTTTGTTCAGAGTCAGTCTCTTCTGAGTCCTTTTTTGAGTCAAAATCGTCAATGACCATGTCTTTCCTCACAATATCATCCTCTGTGCCAACAAAGAACCATTTCAATACTCTACTATTGTAGGAATTTTTATTTCAAACTACCAGTAAGTTTTCTGTATACCCTTTCCTGTTTTCCTATAGTTTATCCGTACCCCCTCAATTAAACCAAATACTTTTGGAAGTTAAACAGCTTCTCCTCATAGGCCATAGGAATTTTATGAAAAATGTTAAAAGATCCTGCACAATACATTAATCAGTCATACCAGCTGCATATGGTTCAGTTTTTGTGGCACCAGCCTCCCTGCCAGGTGCTCTACTACTGAGCTATACCTTTTAATCATAATATAATTGAACCCAGGTCCTTGTGTATGCTAGGCAAGCACTCTACCACTCAGCTACAACCTGCCCCTAGCCCCCAAATTCTGTATTCGGATGGATTTCTCCTGCCTTAGCTACATGCTTGGTATGTGATAAGCAATCCTTTTGCATGTCACAAATTTTCATTTACTTGCAAGGTATTTTCCTTTCTTAGAGATTTCCTTTGTAACAAGCTTTGTCTTATTTTATGAGAAAATGACTTGCAATAATTTTTCTAATGTGTATTTGCTTTAGTAATATGAAATTTACCTCTAGCTGCCTGTTTTCATCCTTTCCTGTAAACAAATAACTTTTCATTTTAAACAGTATATAAACTCAGCACTTGTGATTCCAGTCAGACAAGTAACTGAATTAAATTGATATCAACATGACTACCTGTGACCAAGTCCATATAGGCACATGCAGAAACAACTGTGTCAGAGCCCCCCCACCCCCGCCCAATCAACTACAACATATACTGGTTCAAGCAGTTTGAAATTTTACTATATGAAGTAACAGCCTTCCCGTTTCTGTAACTATCAATTATAAAAAGTGACATGGACCTTACATGTTAACAGCTTAACTTTTCTTCAGTTTGTGGATTTGTGATAGAGGTGATTTAGGCATTTGTGATTTAGGCATTCCTCAAAATTAGAATACACATTCACTATCTCTTCCTGTCCTCATTGATCCCCTTTTTCTTCTCCTGTTTTAGAGTTGGTAATCTCACCATTCATCTACCAATTCTGAAAACCTTCTGAGTCTTTCTTGTTTTTTTCCACCTATCATTTTGCTGTCATCAAGTCCTACCAGTTTGAGTCTAAAGATTTCTTTCTTTCCTTTTTTTTTTTTTTTTTTGGAGGGGGGGTACTAGGGATTCAACTCAGAGGTGCTCTACCACTGAGCTATACCTTTTAGTCATAATATAATATGATAAAACATTTTAAAATATAAATGTAACAACTACTCATCCATATCTTTTCTAAGAGTAATTATATTTTCCTGGTCAGCAAAACTATGAAGTTAGTTGGTATCTGTTCCCACTTTGCAAAGGAAAGAACAGGCTCAGAGAAGATGCCTTGCCCAAGGTTGCAAAGCTGAAAAGGGGCCCTATCTTGAGTTCCATTGCAATTCCATGTAATCATTCTTTATTAATTGTATAGTTATTTAATGACCTATTGTATACTAGGTACTGGGAGTACAATAATCAATAAAACAGAGTCCATGTCCTTTCTCAAAGAGTTTATCATCTAATGAGAGAGAGAGAGAGAGAGAGAGAAAGAAAGAGAAAAAAATGAACCCCCACTTGCCATACAGTGTGATAAGGTAGAGTTAAGTACAAAAGAACTATGGGAAAACTTCAAAGGCTGGTTGAAATAATACATAATATTCAAAACCATCTGATGTCCAGCTCAGCTTACATTTCCATAATGACATGAGTGAAATCCAAGTTTTCCATCTTTGGAAACCTGCTAATTTTCAAAGTCTTTAGCCTTTCACAACCCTAACCCAGAGCCACTTACAGCTAGTGTCTGGGCAGTGTGCGTTGAAACTTACTCAGCTATAGGAGGTTTTACCTCAGCCACAGAAACAGACGCGCCATTCTTCCTTCAGAGTTTCATCAAAGTCCAGCATTTAGGAGAGTTCCTGATGCAAATAGTAGATACTAAGTAAATGTTCAATACATGAACGAAGTCTCTAAAATCAAACCTTCCTTGTAAGTTGGTGTAGTCTAGTCTCACCAGGACCAACCTGTTTGTAATGCATTACTTAACCTAAGTATGGGTTTCCCAGTATTCCTCTGGAATAGGTACTTATTTTATTTGTTTAGTTTTTTTATTATCCTTTACTAACCAACTGAACACAGACATGTCCTCATAAAAAGGTAAACTTTTAATTTTTGTTCTAAAGCATGTTATTTCAATCTTTCATATCTAGTTTTACAAGAAGCAAAATCTTGTGTAATATTTTACAGTCATATTGAAACTGCTGAAAGATCCAACATGTCTAGATGCAGATCTTTGCACAATTAGATATATTTTTATTATCTTGTAGATTATGAAAGATTCTATGGGTTTTAGGATCTTATTGTTATCATTCTTTTCTTTATGCATTATTTTATTTTAGTACAGAACTGGATATTGAACCCAGGGGCATTTTACCACTGAGCTGCATCCCCAATCCTGTTGATTTTTTATTTTGAGATGGGGTTTTGCCAGACTGCTGAGGCCGTCCTTAACTTGGGATGCTCCTGCCTCAGCTTCCCAAGTCACTGGGTTATAGTTATGCACCACATGCTAAATTTATTGATTTCATTCTCAAAGGCTATTAATTGTTATTTTATCCTGACTTTCAGGTAAAGAAGATACTCCCTCATTACTTGGTCTCTGTGGGTCTCTTACATCAGTGGCAAGTTACAAGTCTCTAACAAGCCTAAAATCTAATGACTACCTTGCAAGTCCTACAACGGAGATGACAAGTCCAGGCCTAACTCCATCCTGAAAAACTTATGTGAAAGTTGAAAGTTTCTATATTGTAAATGTTCAGTTTATGTAAGTTCAACTGCTGGGGAGACCTTTGAAATTTTATATTGTTCTGGTACATGTCTGGAATTCTGCTTAGAGAGTTCAGTACTCCATGTAAACTTATAAGGGGAAAAATAATGGTCCTGACATTTTTTCATTTAAAAAAAACTTATATTTGTCATTGAGAAAGTTTAAAATTGAACAGGCTTTAAAAAACTTTTGAAGATTCTCCAAATTAATGATTCATTCAAATTGTACATAGTTAATATTCAACTGATTTTTATATATTTCTTTACATATATCTTAGTGATCAGAGACTGAGATCAAGGCTTTATTCCAGAGACTTAAGCTAAATATTTTCTTTCACTCAGTGGTCAAATTTTCAAAATAAGACAACTAAATTCAGTTTTCCACTAATTTCTAACATTTAAATGCCATATGTTTAATATTAGGGCAGTGTTCTAGATTGCAGTTCACAGTGGTTTTTCAGTTTTTTTGGTTTTGGGTGGTTTTGTTTTGTTTTGTTTTGTTTTTTTGGTTATGCTGGGGATTGAACCCAGGGCCCTGTACATGCTAAAGAAGTGCTCAACACTGAGCTATTCCCTAGCCTGTCATTTTTTTCTTCAACATTTATCATTTGGTACTAATTAAACATTCCATTTAACATTTTATAAATTTTGTAGGAATGTGCCTTTTTTGGCAATCACTGATTTTCTTTGTATGGGTCATAGGTAAAGTATATTATACAGAGAGAAAAATGAATAAATTTCTTATTGTTGTTTCCCCAGGATTTTCATTAACGGTTGTCAGTTTTTAAATGTGATCAGGTATGTCTGAAAAGTTGGAGACGTTTCAAATATAGAAGGAATGCTAGAAAATGTTACATCAGGAATGATTTTAAGTTCAGCTAAAGATTGAGAAGATTTTAAACAAGGATCACTAGAATAAGCACCATACTTAATAATAAATAAATGCCTGACATACAGTGCTATTTTTTCCTCCCTTACATGTAACAATGAATTATGTCATGCGTGTTTTATGAACTCTAGCATCATGTCATAATCTCATTTTTAAAATGATGTTAATATTTAAAAGGTCCCTACACTTCTACAGGTAAATTAGTTTTTTTATAGTCCATATTTTAAATCTTTTGCAATTTTTAAAACAGCTACATTTGTCCCTTAAATTTCCACCATATCAAAAGTGAAAATATATGAAACATATTTTCTATAGTAAGAAATAAGGAAAACATGATTAGCTGTGCCAAAGAGATTTTATACATTGTTTACATGAAAAGGCCACAATATTTATCTGGAATGTCATATGGTATTTTTGTTTATTACTAAAACATTACATTCAAACATAGTAGCTTTGACATATAGGAAAAATGTTCTTCCTAAAACAATTTTTTTAAGAAGTGAATTACCTGTTCATTCTTTGTATTAGAAATGTAGGAGTCTGATGGTTCTCTGCAATATTTAGAGCTTAGTTTCATAATTTGGAATATAAACTAAGGTCAGTCTTGTATGTGAGACAGTCCAAACAATGTCATTTCAGGGACAAAGGAGACCTGGAAGCCCTTATAATAAGCTATCTTAAGTGTGCCAGGACATACTCAGAGCTTTATTCCTTTATCTTAAGGCTTTAATATTTGTAGAAATGCAAATGTTCTTGAGAAATGGTACCTTTAATCTATTCTTAATTCTGTATACCCTTGACAAGAGTGAAGTATCCAAAGCAGTTTTTAAGAAGCATGAGGAAGAAGGTACAAAATAAAGACATTTGACATCTTGGGAGGATGGAGTAAAGAAATGAATGAGGAGGGAACTTTGGGAATTTTAGGCTAGCCTTGAGCAGCTTTCCTAAGAATTTTCAGAATATTTAAATGCTTAATAATTCATGGTCCACTCTCAGCTGACACATAGGATCCTTCAGTAATTAAAAAATATTGTTAATTTTTTTCCATTCATTTTTAAAATGTAGAAGGAAATTCAAGATTCCATAATTGGTATACTTTTCAGGTTTGTCTACTGGGAACAGTAATTTGTGTATCTTAACCTGCTGCTAAGTGCAGATTTAAACATGGCATCTGAGGATCAGGACTTTTCCTCCTTTCTTGGAGCTCTTGGAATAAAATTCATTGGCTACTGTGAAATTCAGGTTTTTACACAGTTCATTTCACACTAGAAGTAGTTTGTAAATTTTGCATGAAGAAACAATGTATGTCTTAACCTTTAATTTAAGTGGTAGTGTTTCTTTTTAACGACCCCTCCCCCAAAAGAATGCTGAACTATATGTTAATATTTCCATGTGTATTTTGTTGCCTTGATGTACTATACTTGTTGCATGTATATTAAAGATTTTGTACCCTGCATTAATAGATTTTTTTCCTTGACTAGAAGGTACCAAATTCAAGTTTTACACTGAACTTTTTGTTTCAACACATGTGGTAAATATATATTATTTTACACCTAAAATACTAATAGGAAAGTGGATTTGGAGAAATCCTTATTTCAACCCAAATTAAATACTCTGTTTCACCACATGACATTTTCGTCAATAACAGACAGCGTATGTGATAGTGGTCCCACAAGATTATATTGGTGTTGAAATTCTGTTAGCTAGTGACATCATAGCTTTCATAATGTCACTGCTGATAAAATGCTGAGATGTCTTAAATGTAATTATGAGGGCTAGAGGATGAAGGAAAAGATGAGGAATGTTAATCAGTTAACAATTTGCAGGGAAAAAAAACCAACAAAAAATAGTTCACATTCCTGATAATATGTTGAATACTTAGATCTCATCACTTTGAACCACCAGGACCACCAAACCTTGTTTACATATCAACTTTAAAAAAAAAAATTTTACATGTTGATTAACTTTTATTTTATGTATTTATTTATATGCAATAGTGAGAATCAAACCCAGTACCTCACACATGCTAGGCAAGCACTCTACCACTGAGCCACAACCCCAGCCCTACATATCAACTTTTCAGACTAGGGTAAATATCCGAACCAATCCAGAAGCTACAGTTGGGACTGCCCTACCTTTCCATCACTTCACCTGCCCTGTTATAGTGCCTCTCATATCTATAGTCAATGTAGGTTCAATTTATGGTTTCCTTCCCCAAATTTTTGTTAGAAAAGTACTTTAGCCCTATGTCTTGTGGACCTTTTTCTAACTGCTATCAGCCTTGATGCTGGTAGTTGTGTAAACTTGTCAAGACCTCATCCTTTTCCAGGCTGACATCTGTAGCAGCTCAATGAACTCTTTTATTCCAGAGATCCTGTGGTCTCAATTTTGGTTTAATATTTTTTGATGGCAGCAACAGGATCCAGTCTTCAAAGGAGCAGAAGGGGACATGATCCCCTCAGGGCTGAGTACATTGACATCATAGCAGCACTCTCATCCATTCAAGGTAAGTACCTCCTGTTTGACCATTCGGAGGCCCTGGAATTGAACACCCAGACCTTGTAGCTATCACATTCAGGCTTTGTGGAGTCCCTTCATTATGGGCTCACCTGGAAATAGCTGCTCTGGACATCTGTGGCAGAATTAGCAGTCTGGAAAACAGGTGAGTTGTCATGGGAATGCCCTCAAATTTGGAAAAGGAATACCTTCAAATTTGGTATGATAGCCAAGTGCTGTGGAACATACCTGTAATCCCAGCAATTTGGGGAGGCTGTGGCAGGAGGATAAGTTCAAAGCCAGCCTCCACAACTTAGCAGAACGCTGTCTCAAAAAAATTTATTTAAAAAAATGGCTATTGAAGTGTCTCAGGGGTTGAGTGCCCTTGGGTTCAATCCCCAACAGCAATAATTAGATGGAATGGATAGATAGACAGACAGACTGCCTGGAGATGTACCTCTGGTACCTCTGAGTTCAGTCCCTAGTAAAATTTTTAAAATAGTAGTATATTTGAGTATATTGTGAGGGGACTCCCTCAAATTTGCTATCATATCTGCCGGGGGGGGGGGGAACTCTTGAATTCAATTTTGATTTTCTCTTTTTTCTGGCTATTTTGTTTTGTCTGAAATACTTTAACCCCATAGTGACATCTGGTGGCCATTCATGTAGTTGCTATTTGGATATTGGCTGCTTTCAGTTAAACCAACATGGTTAACTCTATTATTCAAATGAGGAAGAATTAAAAATTCACTCTGAATTCAAGACAAATTTTTTCTTCTTGGGCTCTTAGAGAAGTTTTTAGAGACTTTCCAGAAGTATTTCCACATTGTCCATTATGAGTAGTGGTTTTGTAGGGCTTGTTACCAAATAATACTTTGTTCCCAGGTTAGAGGAACATTTCTGACTCATCTGAAGGGGGCGCAATATGGGACTTCTCTCAGCACCTCAGGCACCCTGATAAATGTGATGTTCAGGGCCATCTGAGATCCAGAAAAGGGTAGCCAAGGTCTTCCTGGTCACACTCTGGGAGTGACACAAGCAGTACACTGAAACTCAAAACATTCATTTCCTGTCCTTAAAACATTGATTTCCTGTCCTTGTTTGAGAGAAGCTTTTATTAGTTATATGTAGTCAAAATCCTAAAACTTCTGACTGCCTTCATAAATGCCAGCTTATGCTAAAAAATGTAGAGCTGAATGTGCACATTTTTTTTATCACAATGGATTAACTCTTTTAACGATTACAGGTTTTTAGAAAATCATTCCTTTTTTTTTTCAATCTAAATTAGAAATCAAATGTACTGAATAATTAGAATGGGAAGTTTATTTCACTGATACACTAAAGCTGGTAGATGATCTGTAGACTAAAATTGCTTCCCTGTTGACCAGGTACAGTGGCACACACCTATATCCCAGCAACTCAGGAGGCTGAGGCAGGAAGATTGCAAGTTCAAGCCAACCTCAGCAGGTTAGTGAGACTCTGTCTCAAAACAAAAAAGGGCTAGGGAATGTACCCAGTGGTAAAGTGCCCCTGGATTCAATTCCTAGTACTGAAAATTTAAAATAAAAAAAAAAATGCTTCCCTGCAAGATTCTCTTTCTAAAATGACTAAAAGCTAGAATTTACTAAAGCAAGGAGCTTTAGAAAGCTTTAAAGAAGCTTTCCCTAATACCAATCTTCTTCTTTTTCTAAACCCTTTATCCAACTTTCCCAAGACTCCAGAACCTGAAAACCTAAAGAAGCTGCATAAAGTATAAAGGTTAATCCCTGAGGTCAAGCACACATAGAATATGCTTTCTTTTCACTATCCCTTAAAGAAATATGCCTTAATATTAGTGACCTGATTAAGAAAACAAGCTAAGAAGTGTATGCTGGGCAAACATTCTATCACTGTGCTGTACAGTACTCTAGGATAAATGTTATAAATGAACTCTCATATTTTCAAAACTCCTTTTTAGTAACTAGAAATCTTAAGGGCATGTTAAATAGATACTTATTGAATGTCAGGGTCATTTCTAAATAAAATTTCTTAAACATCAATTATTAAACATAAGTTTACAGTTGATATGATGAAAAGTAAGTTATATGAACTTGGAACTGTGTGTCCTTTTTCAAAATTTTTGTTATAAGGAAGCATGTATTTCTAAAAATTATAAAATTGCTAGGCAAGGTGGCAGAAGGCTGAGATAGGAAGATTGCAAGTTCAAGGCCAGCCTCTGCAACTTAGCAAGATCTTGTCTCCAAATTTTTAAAAGGGGGAGAGGGTGCTGGGGATTTAGCTCAGTGGGTAAAGCACCCTGGGTTTCACTCCTCGGTACCAAAAAATAAAAATAAAATAAATTATAAAATTGTGTTGGTCTACAGAATGCTGGTTCACAATTGCTAAGGATTACTAATGGTAACTGAAACTAAAAATAAAACGGGAGATAGTATATGAGGAAAGCAAGATATGTTTTATGAAGGAAGTTAAGGAATATGAGGATATGTTTTTGTTAAGGGAAAAAGAAAGTAAATTCTGTGCTAAAGTAAAATGATAGTTTGTTCCAAGATACAAAAAAGAGGTATAGGACAAACTAAAGGCTGGAAAAATTCTGAAAGATTTGAGAGTTATAAAAGGGTATGGAAAGAAGTGGATCTTGTGGAAGCTTTATGTGTAATCAAGTTGATATACCAAAAGTGTACTTGTGGGAAATTCAAGTTTGATACCCTGTGGTTGAATACCCAGAGATTTCTTGGAATGTGGATCTTCTCTTCCTAGGAAATTATGAGCAGTTTTTTAAGTAATCAGAATAGAGATAAAAGATTCTGATACTTCTTGTGTTTTATGCCTTTAAAAAAATTTTTTTGTAGTTGGTCACGGTGTCACATGCCTGTTATCCTAGTAGCTCCAGAGGCTTTGGATCACAAGTTTTAGGCCAGCCTTAGCAACATAATGAGATCCTGTCTCAAAATAAGTAAATAAATAAAAAGAGCTGGGGATCTAACTCAGTGGTAAAGCACCCCTGAATTCAGTCCTCGGTACCCCACACACATACACACCCATACACACACACACACACACACACACACACGTTGTCGGTTTTGTTTCATAAATGATCTCATTTTAATATTAAAAACCTTTTGCTATGTTTGGCAAACTTTCAAAAATCAAATTCTAAAATCAAGCATTTTTGGCTTAGGACTAGGTTTGGGATTTCCAGGGGACTCTTGCAAATTCAGAAAAGATATAATAGACTTATTTGATTTAAATTATATCAAGAGCATAATCAAGCTGTGTATGGTAGCTCACTCTAATAGTCTCAATGGCTAGGGAGGCTGTGGCAGGAGGATTGCAAGTTCAAAGCCAACCTCAGCAACTTAGTGAAACCCTAAGCAACTTGGGGATGTAGCTCAGTGATTAAGCACCCCTGAGTTCAATTCCGGTTATAAAAACAAAATCGTCAAATAAGAAGAAGTGATGGTTATCCTTGAGTTATGTTTGTATTAATATTTTCAATATATGTTCAAAAATTAGATTCCTAGAAATATGATATGTCTTGGTATAGTTATAATTCTAATGTTAGATTATAGTACACCATGGAATAACCAAATTTCTTTGTTAATTGTGAACTGTTATTAGATCTTTAGCCATGACTGTTTTAAGTCTTGTCCAAAGTTAAATTGTTTTGTCTTGGGGCTTAGAATGTGGCTCAGAGATAGCGTGCTTGCCCAGTATAAATGAGACCTACATCAATACATCAATAAAAATTCACAACCTTAATGAACTCTTGAGAATGCAGAACACACACACTTTTATAATGAGAATCTAGGGCTACAGGAGAAAGATGCATAGGTTTTTCAGTTATGACTTCAAAGGGGTAAAACCTGATTTCCTAAAGAAGTTGTCTCTGAATTATTCAGTATCAGTACTCAAAGAGGCCTATAAAGCTTCAGGAATGTCTTTGAGCAAGAGGAGTCATCA